GGATTTTTACATCTATATTCATATGAGATATTGGTCTGTAGTTTTTGTTTTTGTTTTTTTTTTTAATGTAACATCTTTGTCTGGTTTTAGTATCTGGATAATAATACTGACCTCATAAAATGAGTTGCAAAATGTTCCCTCTTCTTTTAATTTCTGAGAGAGACTGTGTAGAATTGGTATTAATTCTTCTTTAAGTATTTGGTAAAGTTTACCAGTGAAGCTGTCAATGCTTGTGGGAAGCTATTTCAAATTATTAGAATCTACTTAAGTTTATTTAACATTTTATCATGATTAGTGTAAAGTTATGCACCTTAATTTTTTCATTGAGAGATTCCTTCTCTCACTGTGGCTATAAACTTGTAATTTATGAAAAATGAAAAACCCGTGTTTCGAAAAAGGTAACATTTAAAGGCTCATATTAAAACTGTGATTATACTGCACTCTAGCCTGAGAGACAGAGCAAGACTGCATTTCTATAAATGAAATAAAATAAAATAAAATAATAAACCATGTCAATGACCAATATGAATATTGAGGACAAGGACTCCTTCTGAAGTAGGATTAAGAAAGGAGGGAAAATAATTTCTAGGACATGTGATTAGAACACTTAAAAGACTTAATGAGGCTGGGTGCAGTGGCTCATGCCTGTAATCCCAGCACTTTGGGAAGCTGAGGCAAGTGGGGCACCTGAGGTCAGCAGTTCAAGACCAGCCTGGCCAAAAAGGTGAAACCCCATCTCTACTGAAAATACAAAATTAGCCGGTACAGTGGCGTGCACCTGTAATCCCAGCTACACTGGGATTATTATTACTTTGGGAGGCTGAGGCAGGAGAATCATCTGAACCCGGGAGGTGTAGGTTGCAGTGAGCCAAGATTGTGCCACTGCACTCCAGACTGGGCAATAGAACAAGACTCCATTTCAAAAAAAAATTTAAAAAGACTTTATGAAATTAAAAAACATTTTTAATGAAAACATTAAGTAGATGAACTGAGAATAGAAATGGTCACTCCTGAAAACTGAATTGGTGTCTGAAAGATTGGTCACAACACAAAGCCAAGCCACAAAAAAATGGAAGCTGGAAGAGAGAAAGACAGTTTAGAAAACAGATCCATGGGAGCTAACTTGTGAACAGCAGAAATGCCTGAACAGAAAAAGAACAGATGGAAGAGAGTAAGTAGAGTGTTACTTATATCCTAGAAAAAGTTTCCCAAGCAGAAGAAAGATTTAAATATTCACATCGGAAAAGGTCACTGAGACACAGAGAGGATTAGTGAAAACGCACATTTAGACATAGCCTAGTGAAATTAAAGGATCTGTAATCGCCATTGGGTTCACCTTGCCTGCTGCCTAGACAGAGCCAATTTATCAAGACAGGGAAATTGCAATAGAAAAAGAGTAATTCATGCAGAGCCGGCTGTGTGGGACACTGGAATTTTATCAGCCTCCCTGAGTATTCGAGGATCAGAGGGTTTTTTTTTTTTTTTTTTTTTATACTTTAAGTTCTAGGGTACATGTGGATAACGTGCAGGTTTGTTACATATGTGTACCTGTGCCATGTTGGCGAGCTGCGCCTATCACCTCGTCAGCACCCATCAACTCGTCATTTACATCAGGTATAACTCCCAATGCAATCCTTCCCCCCTCCCTCCTCCCCGTGATAGGCCCCGCTGTGTGATGTCCTCCCCGTGATAGGCCCTCCCCGTGATAGGCCCCGCTGTGTGAGTCCAAGTGATCTCATTGTTCAGTTCCCACCTATGAGTAAGAACATGCGGTGTTTGGTTTTCTGTTCTTGCGATAGTTTGCTGAGAATGATGGTTTGAGGACCAGAGTTTTTAAAGACAACTTGGTGGGTTGGGGGAAACCAGTGAGCCAGGAGTGCTGATTGGTCAGATCAGAGATGAAATCATGGGATGTTGAAGCTGTCCTCTTGTGCTGAGTCAGTTCCTGGGTCAGGGCCACAAGATCAGATGAGCCAGTTTATCAATCTTGCTGGCCAGCTGATCCATTAAGTGCCAGGTCTGCAAAATACCTTAAGCACTGATCTTAGGAGCAGTTTAGGGAAGGTAAGAATTTTGTAGCCTCCACCTGCATGACTCCTAAACCATAATTTCTAATCTTGTGGCTAGTTTGTTAGCCCTACAAAAGCAGTATAGTCCCCAGGCAAGAAGGAGGTTTGTTTTGGGAAGGGGCTGTTATCATTTTTATTTTATTTATTTTTTAATTTTAATTTTTAAAAAAATTTTGTTTATTTATTTTTGAGATGGAGTCTCCCTCTATTGCCCAGGCTGGAGTGCAGTGGCACAATCTTGGCTCACTGCAACCTCTGCCTCCTGGGCTCAAGTGATTCTCCTGCCTCAGCCTCCCAAGTAGCTGGGACTACAGGTGTGTGCCAACTGCTAGTTTTTGTATTTTTAGTAGAGATGGAGTTTCACCATATTGGCCAGGCTAGTCTATTATGTTTATTTTTATACAGGCATGAAACACTGTGCCCAGACCGTATTGTACCTTTTGATATTTGTACCTCGTATGTATATTACTCTTTCAAAAATGAAGCAAGAATTAATGAAAGAGATGTGCAAAAATATACTAGGCAAAAGCAAGATTTGCAACACTATCCTACAAATGGAAATCATGCTCAAAACACATTGAACAGAACAAGTAGTGACAATATATGAGGATAAAATCAGGCACAATTCAAGAAGATATAATAACCATACACTTTTATGCATCAAATAACATAGCTGTCAAGCATATAAAAGGAAAACTACAAGTACCCGGAGAACATGGATAAAATACTTTTGAACTTTAACAGACGACGTAGACAAAAATAAGCTATTATATAGAGGATTCGAATAATGTAATGAATAAGCTCTATTTAGTAGATGCATATATAAAGAATATATACTTTTTTTTTAAAAGACAGAACTTGAAAAACTCAAATATGTACTTTTTAAATGTCCTGGAAACAGAAGCTTGTTACAGAACCAATCATGCATTTAGCCAGAGAGAAAGCTTTTTTTTTTTTTCCTGAGACTGATTTTTTTTTTTTTTTTTTTTCCTGAGACAGAGTCTTGCTCTGTCTCCCAGGCTGGAGTACAGTGGTGCGATCTTGGCTCACTGCAACCTTCGCCTCCTGAGTTCAAGTGATTCTTCTGCCTCAGCCTCCTGAGCAGCTGGAGCTACAGGCACGCGCTACCATGCCCAGCTAGTTTTTGTTTTTGTTTTTTGTTTTTTTTTTTTTGAGACGAGTCTCGCTCTGCCGCCCAGGCTGGAGTGCAGTGGCCGGATCTCAGCTCACTGCAAGCTCCGCCTCCTGGATTCAGGCCATTCTCCTGCCTCAGCCTCCCGAGCAGCTGGGACTACAGGCGCCCGCCACCTTGCCTGGCTAGTTTTTTGTGTTTTTTAGTAGAGACGGGGTTTCACCGTGTTAGCCAGGATGGTCTCGATCTTCTGACCTCGTGATCCGCCCGTCTCGGCCTCCCAAAGTGCTGGGATTACAGGCTTGAGCCACTGCGCCCGGCCAATTTTTGTATTTTTAATAGAGATGGGGTTTCACCATATTGGCCAGGCTGGTCTCGAACTCCTGGTCTCACGATCATCCACCTCAGCCTCCTAAAATGCTGGGATTACAGGCATGAGCCACCGCACCTGGCCAAGAAAGCTTTATAAATCCAAAAAGGTTTAAACTTATACATCATGCTCTCTGATCATAAACCAAGAAACTAGAAATTAACAATGAAAAGATAACAATAACAAAAATCCCTTATCCATGGATATGAAGATACATTCTCCCAAATAGTCTTTATTTCTATTTTTATTTTTTTCGAGACAGGATCTTGCTTTGTCACTCAGGCTGGAGTGCAGTGGAACAATCAGAACTGACTGTAGCACTGACCTCCTGGACTCAAGCAATCATCTTACCTCAGCCTCCTGTACAGTGGCACTACAGGCGTGTACCATACATGCCCGGCTAATATATTTATTTATTTTTTTGTAGAGATGGGGTCTTGCTATGTTGCCCAGGCAGGTCTTGAACTCCTGAGCTCACATGACCCTCCCACCTCAGCCTCCCAAGGTATAGAGATTATAGGCATAAGCCATTGCATCTGGCCCCAAATAGCCTTTATATCAGAGATAATTAAAACAAATTATGAATTGTCTACAAAGTAATGAAGAGGAGGTCACCTTATTCTAATACCTATGGGATACAGCTAAAGCTGTTCTGAGTAAAATCAATAGAAAGACTGAGACCACTTAATGGAGAATTCAGCTTGGAAAACCAGAAAAAGAATAACATGAAACATAATAAATTAGGAGAGTGCTAAAATGAGATCAGTACAAGATAATGGAAAACGTAAAGCAAAAGAATCTACTAGTAAGAAAATACGTCTGAAAACACCTAAGAGAATTAACACTTCTCAAACCCAACAGTTGTCACTTCGGTCTTGGGAGAGAGGATCGTTCCTGATGACATCAAAGCTTTATCACAAAGAGTCAAAGAAATGTACAGGTTATGTTTTAAAACTATTAGTTCTGGTTAGTCTACTTTCCCCTCCCCTCCCCTCCCCTCTTCTCCCCTCTCCTCTCCTTTTCTTTTCTGAGTTTCGCTCTTGTTGCCCAGGCTGGAGTGCAGTGGCGCGATCTCGGCTCACTGCAACCTCTGCCTCCTGGGTGCAAGCGATTCTTCTGCTTCAGCCTCCCAAGTTGCTGGGATTACAAGCATGTGCCACCATGCCCGGCCAATTTTTTGTATTTTTTGTAGAGATGAGGTTTCTCCATGTTGGCCAGGCTAGTCTCTACTGCCTGACCTCAGGTGATCCACCTGCCTTGGCCTCCCAAAGTGTTGGGATTATAGGCATGAGCCACCACACCTGGGTGTTTAGTTTCTACCCTATGACCTGACAAAGAGCCAGAAATCTCTGCAGAATGATTTATTGGGCAAGTTAGTGGAGAGAAGAGGTATAGTCTGCTGCACAGATGACATAAGGGGGACCTAGAACCATATGATAAGACTGAAGGAAGCCAACAGAATGCAGGAACAGGGAGAAATGTCTGGGATTGGAATTGATCGGCAGGACTGGGTTGGGATACGTGGAATACAGCAGAGACTCAGTCATCTTTGGCAATGTGATAGTTGGTACTCAGGAAAGGGGGGAGACCTGGCTGTGCCCTGGAGGCAAGAGAAAGAAGCTCCAGACTGAAGTTTGCAGCTGAGCACCTGCCTAGGTGCTCCAGAGGCATATGACAGTGAGGATGGAGGAGGCCATGAAGAGCAGGTAGAGGCGGAAGAACAGGGCATCCATCGCGTGACCGAACTGCACCCACAGCTCCACTGAGTGCTGCTTCTGGGCCTCATGTTCCCACTGGGCCCTTGTCCATTCTGAGCCCCCTGTCAGCTCTGCCTCCCCAGGGCCTGGCATCTGCCCTGCTGATACCTCTGGCTCCTTCACACTTACAGAAAGACAGAGACTCAGCCACAGGCTGCAAATGTCACCTATACAGGGAGGGAGACAGGGAAGGAGGCAGGAGCAGAGAAGTGGAGGTGGGGGAAGGGGAAGTGTGACTTCCCTCACCAGGCAGGTGGGTGGGGGTGAGACCCAGGCCCTTATTTCCCTTCTGGGGTGCAGTGGGACAGCATCTCCCTCGGCTGGTGCAGTGGAGCAGCAGAGAGTGGAGCCACCAAGGCAGGGGTGGGGGATAGGTGGTGGCCACGTGCAGCAGGTGGGTGATGAAGATGGTCTCCAGCAGGCTGCCCACCATCAGGGAGAGGCACAGGGGCGAAGTACACACCTGGAGGGAAGGGGGGCCTGGTGAGGGCCAGAGACACCACCTAGAATTTCTTTCTTCTCTTCCAATCCCACCCTGGCAGGCATACGGCCTCCTTTTCCCAGTATACCTCCCTTCCTTAGTTCCCACTCTTCTCTTCCAAAAGGTGGGAGGAGCATCCATACCGATGGGGGGGTGCCACTGGTGGGGAGCAAGTCATTCATCATGAGCAGGAAGATGTTGTAGCCCAGCAGGAGCACTATCTTGAATGGGACACGTTTCCCACTTTTCACTGGCAGTAGAAGCTGAGGGCATCGATGGCAGCCAGAAAGCCACTGGGCATGAGAAGGTTTATGACATAGAGGCTGGGCCTGCACCTGATGGCCACCTGGTGGGGTAGAAGAGGGCGGTAAGTAGTTATGGGGTCAGAGAAACCCTCAAATCCAGGAATGGCAGTGACAGTTTCTGTCTCTGCCTTTTTCTCTGGCCTGATATCACCTGGGATCTGGAGCTGTGTGGAATGCAGCTTTAGAATCTGGTATAGAACCTGTGAAGAGACAGTTAGGCCAGAGCCCTGAGCTTTAGGATGGAGAATGAGGCTGGGAAGCCAGGAGAGAGGGTAACACTGGGAGACCCTGAAACTTGGGAGATACACATTCGATGGACATTCTAGGCAAGGGTAAAAGCGTGGGAGGAAGGAAAGAGCAAGAACCTCCAAGCTCACATAGAACACAATCTGATCATACGGTTGCCTTCCCTGGACATCTTTGCAGTGGCCTTGTTGATGCCCAGGAGCTCCCATTCTCCATGGGCCTGAAGGATGTCCCAGGATGTGTCTGTTATTTCCCACACTTCTTTCTCCATGTCCAGCAACATGCTGTCCACTGAAAATGAGAACCATCTGAATCATTTTTCAAGGATATAGCCTCCTGGTGGCTCAACTGCTCTCTTTTTCCATCCTTTCTTTCAACAAATAGTTTTGAGTGCCTCCTACATGCCAGGAAACTTGCCAGGAGCTTGGGATGGTAAGGAACAAGACAGACTTGGGTTCTGCCTTTATGAAAAATCTTTTAGCATCCATAGAGCCTTATTCTTCTCCCTACCCATACTCCTTGGTCACAATTTACTCATAGTTTCTTTATATTTGTTGGCTGCTCTCATTCACTCCATCCCTGAGACCCCACTGCAACTCACCTGTATAGAGGAATGAGCTGAAGGTAAGTGTGCAGTTCTGCTGGTCAAAGGGGAAGTAGATGTCCAGGTTATAGATACTGTCCACCTTCATGGGTTTCTTATACCTGATGCGACCTTCATTACTTACATATGCTGTAAGGCCTTTTGGGGTCTTATCCACATCCATGCTAGAGGAGAGATAAGGCAAGAAGCAGGTGCTGTGGTTTCTCTCTCTCTCTCTCTTTTTTTTTTTTTTTTTTTTTTGAGACAGGATCTTGTTCTGCCACCCAGGCTGTAGTAGAGTGGCATGCTCTCAGCTCACTGCAACCTCCATGTCCTGGACTCAAATTATCCTCCTGTCTCAGGCTCAGCCTCCCAAGTAGCTGGGACTACAGGCACACCACCAGGCCTGGATAATTTTTTTTTTTTTTTTAAGAGATGAGGTTTCACCATGTTGCCCAGGCTGGTCTCAAACTCCTGAACTCAAGTGATCCACCCACCTTGGCCTCCCAAAGTGCTGGGATTGCAGGCATGAGCCACTGCGCCCGGCCCAGTTTCTCTTCTTATCTCTCTGGTTGTTTTTTAACCATCTAAAGAGCACTTACAGCGGTCCCAGTGGTAAACTGTGATCTCTATGGCTACCAGGAGATAGGACGTGACCAGCCCTTGATACGCACAGTTCAACGATGAAAATGTCTGGGAACCACAGGTTCTTGGCTGATATACTCATCTTCATGATGCCCTCACACTCCTCTGGGTTCCGGCTGATAAATGGGTTATCCCAAACCTAGAGCCCAGGTGGAGGAGAGTTGAGAGCCTGAGATGAATTGGAGATATTTTCTCCTGCCCTTTAATTTCTTCTTTTTTAAAAAAAGTTATGAAATACTTCAAGCATATAGAAAAATATATAAAATATTATGACAAACATCTACGTATCTACAATCCAACTTTGTGGCATTAATATTTTATTAAATTTACTTGCTTTTTTTCAAGAAATGAGAATCATAGATAAAATCGAACCTGCCTAGGACCATTTCTTCATGAATTTTGATCAGCCAGCGCTGGTCGTCTGGGAACCACACTTTGAGAGTGAGGTTAGGTGATTGTATTATCTTTCTCCAGCTCCTTCTTTCCTTTCCTCCAAGCAGGCTTTTTTTTTTTCTTTTCTTTTCTTTTTCTTTTTATTTTTTGAGATGGAGTCTTGCTCTGTCACCCAGGCTGGAGTGCAGTGGCGCGATCTCAGCTCACTGATATAGATATAAAACCTCTGCCTCCCAGGTTCAAGCGATTCTCCTGCCTCAGCCTCTTGAGTAGCTGGGATTTCAGGTGCGTGCCACCACCTGACTAATTTATTTTATTTTATTTTATTTTATTATTATTATTATTTTTTATGAGATGGAGTCTTGCACTGTCACCCAGGCTGGAGTGCAGGGGCGCGATCTCGGCTCACTGCAACCTCCACCTCCCAGGTTCGCGCCATTCTCCTGCCTCAGCCTCCCAAGTACCTGGAACTACAGGCGCCCACGACCACACCCTGCTAATTTTTTGTATTTTTAGTAGAGATGGGGTTTCACCGTGTTAGCCAGGATGGTCTTGATCTCCTGACCTCGTGATCTGCCCGCCTCGGCCTTCCAAAGTGCTGGGATTACAGGCGTGAGCTTCCGCACCCGGTCACCACCCAGCTAATTTTTTTATATTTTTGGTAGAGATGGAGTTTCACCATGTTGGCCAGGCTGGTCTTGAACTCCTGACCTCAAGTGATCCACCTACCTAGGCCTCCCAAAGAGCTGGGATTATAGGCGTGAACCACCAAGCCCAGCCATCAAGCAGGCTTTTCAGGTTGGAAACTCAATTCATTCACTTTTATTCCCCCCCATCCTCCCACACACCTTGTTTTCTTATCAATGCAATTAAGATATAAATTTTCCACTGGGTTATGCTTTGATTACATTCCATAGATTTTCATATGTATAATTTTCATTTCTAATTACTTCATAATTTCTACTTAATTGCTTTAATTTCTCCTTTGTCTCAAATATTTGGAAATTTAATTTTAAATTCTCAAGAAACAAGGTTTTCTTTCTTTCTTTCTTTTTTTTTTTTTTGAGATGCAGTCTTACTCTGTAGCCCAAGCTGGAGCACGGTGGTGTGATCTCGGCCAACTGCAACCTCTGTCTCCCCAGCTCGAGTGATTCTTGTGCCTCAGCCTCCTGAGTAGCTGGGACTACAGGCATGTGCCACCATGCCTGGCTAATTTTTTGTATTTTAGTAGAGACGGTATTTCACCGTGTTGCCCAGGGTGGTCTTGAACTCCTGAGTTCAGGTGATCCACCGGCCTCGGCCTCCCAAAGTGCTGGGATTACAGGTGTGAGCCACTATGCCCAGCGTTTTTTTTTTTTTTTTTTAAAGATAGGGTCTCACTGTGTTGCCCAGGCTACAGTGCAGTGGCACAATTATGGCTCACTGCAGCCTTGACCTCCCGGGCTCAAGTGATCCTCCCATCTCAGCCTCCCCAGTAGCTGGGACTACAGGTGTGAAACACCATACCAAGGTAATTTTTGTATTTTTTGTAGAGACGAGGTTTTGCCATGTTGCCCAGACTGGTTTCAAACTCCTGGGCTCAAGCAATCCACCTACCTTGGCCTCCCAAAGTGCTGGGATTACAGGCATGTGCCACTCTGCCTGGCATTGATACCTTTTTGTGGTTAAATATGTGGTCAGTTTTGGGGAATACTTTATGTGTGTTACAAAAATTTTGTATGTTCATTGATACAAAGCTTGACATGTTTATTAGACTAAGTTTCTTAATTGTGCTGTGAAAATCACTATATATTTACTCCTTTTCTCCTAGATTTTTGTTTTGTTTTGTTTTGTCTTTGAGATGGAGTCTCACTTTGTCGCCCAGCCTAGAGTACAGTGGCACGATCTCGGCTCACTGCAACCTCTGCTTCCCGGATTCAAGTGATTTTCCTGCTTCAGCCTTCCAAGTAGCTGGGATTACAGGCGCCCACCACCATGCCCAGCTAATTTTTGTATTTTCAGTAGAGATGGGGTTTCACCATGTTGGCCTGGGTGGTTTCAAACTCCTGACCTCAAGTGATCTGCCCACCTTGGCCTCCCAAAGTGTTGGGATTACAGGCATGAGCCACCGTGCCCAGCCTCTCCTTAATTTTTGAAAGCAGTGTATTAAAGCCCCTCATCATTATGGTCAGTTTTTCAATTTCTCCTTCATGTGTTTCAAAGCAATGTTAGGGACATAAAAATTCATAATTATTATGTCTTTGTTTAAAATCCTTTTTGACTGTAACTGTAAGAAGAGAATAAAGTGTTGTCCATATCATTTCCAGCCACAGGAAGGATGACAAGAGGTGCAGCTGTTCATCCTGCCAAAAGAATTTCCTATTTCCATCGTGTTGCCAGTAAGAAGTCTGTTCATCTCCCCCACTTCCCATGCTTGTTTACCAACTCCTGAGGTATGTAAAGGGGATATGTGATCAAGGACAAAAGCTGTATCAAAACTGATGTGTTAGGCTGTGGACAGGAGAGTTCACAGCAGGGTGAGAGTAAAGTATTCCTTCTCAACCTTGGCTGTATATGAGAATAACTCGGAAAGCTTGAAAATATTGATATGGCTGGGTGCGGTGGCTCATGCCTATAATCCCAGCACTTTGGGAGGCTGAGACAGGCAGATCACTTGAGGTCAGGAGTTTGAGACCAGCTTGGCCAACATGGTGAAACTCTGTCTCTACTCAAAATACAAAAATTAGCCGGGCGTGGTGATGCATGCCTGAAATCCCAGCTACTCGGGAGGCTGAGGCAGGAGAATCGCTTGAGCCCAGGAGGTGGAGGTTGCAGTGAGCCAAGATCATGCCGTTGCACTCCAGCCGGGGCAAGAGTGAGACTCCATCTCAAAAAAACAAAAACAAAAACAAAACAAAAATGAGGCTTGGGTTTCCTCCAATCAGAACCTCTGGGATTAGAACCTGGTCACTGGTGTGTAGCCAGAGTGAGAAGAAAAGATTCTCTTCCATGTGCTGCTATACCTCACCCTGCTGCACTGGACAGAGCTTCTTTGAGATCCCCATGCCAGGCAAATGCCATCCAGCAGTGGTGGAGGAAGCAGAAATCTGGCTAAGGGCTTTGGGGGACCACCTTGCCAGGGGCTGGGAAAAGGTCAAGGACACCAAGGAGGGCTAGAGGGGTCAGCACTCACCGCATCTGGGATGGCAGACATCGTGAAGGAGATGTTGACTCGGGTGGGGACGCTGATGGTGACCAGTCGGAAGGCCTTTCTATTAAACACTGAATTCAGGGCAGTGGGATCCGCCCCGTGCTGGCCAAACCCTGAGCACTTGATGGTGAAAGTAACGCCCCTTCCTGGAGTGGACATCGAATGTGTGAGATGAAGGAGAGCAACCCTGTGCTCCCTATATGAGAGGGGCCCCAAGGCAGGGCCTGGAGTCGCCTGTGATAAAATGAGAGCTAACATTTGTTGAGCATTGGCTATGTGTCAGGTATATTCTAAGCTCTTTAAAAATGGATTACCTCATTTAATCCTCCCAATCCCCATCAGGTAGATACTGCTTTACCCTCATGTAATAAACGAGCTAACTAAGGTGCAATAAGGGGAAGTAACTTCCTACAGTCAGACAGCCAATAAAAGGCAGAAGCCAGATTTGTTCTGAACCCAGGTTTATCTGCTGCTGCTGTGCTATATGTCCCCAGGGATGAGATGAAGAATGGGGAGGGGATCCCCGAGAGGGGTCCAGACGCTGGGCTCTTCCTTCCGAGGCCTGGGAGGATGGGGTGAGCTGGAATGCAAATTCTGGAAGCTAAAGTGGCAAGCTGAGTTAGAGCTCCAGCCTCCTTTCCAATATTTCTGTCTCCATGCAAAGCATGCCCAAATCTGTATGCAAACTGAGCCTGGAACGTTGATAGTCATCTGATAGGATTACAGTCCCGGGGCCCCCGAGAGGACACACCTGTTTTCACCCTGACTGCCCCAACCTTCCTTCTCCTTATTTGACTTTACCCAACTCTATCACTAGCTCTAGTTTGAGGCTTTTAAAAAGTTGTATTTTATTTTTAATGAACATATAATAATTGTGCATATTTCTTAGTTTGGGGTTTTTGGGTTTTTTTGTTTTGAGACAGCTACTCACTCTGCTGTCCAGGCTGGAGTGCAGTGGCATAATTACTGTAGCCTCGGCCTCTGGGCTTAGGGCTTAGGGGATTTTCCCACCTCAGCCTCCCAAGTAACTGTGACTACAGGCACTCCCCCCACACTTGGCTAATTTTTAAACATGTTTTTTTGTAGAGACAGGGTCTCACTATGTTGCCCAGGCTGGTCTGAAACCCCTAGGCTCAAGTGATTCTCCCACCTGGGCCTCCCAAAGTTCTGGAATTATAGGTGTGAGCCACCATGCCCAGCCAAATAGCTATTTCTAGAAGTGTGGGTGGGCTTTTTGTTTTTATTATTTCTTTTTAAAATTTTAAAATTTTGTTTAGATGAGTCTCACTCTGCCGCCCAGGCTGCAGTGCAGTGGCGCGATCTTGGCTCACTGCAATCTCTGCCTCCCAGGTTCAACCGATTCTTCTGCCTCAGCCTCCCAAGTAACTGGGATTACAGGCATCGCCATCACATCAGGCTAGTTTTTGTATTTTTAGTAGAGATGGAGTTTCACCATGTTAGCCAGGCCAGTCTTGAACTCCTAACCTCAGGTGATCCACCTGCCTCAGCCTCCTAAAGTGCTGGGATTACAGGTGTGAGCCACCTCACCTGGCCCATCTTACCCTCTTCTAACTAATACATTTTTAAATTTTCTACTCGTGAAAATGTGTTGGAGGAGCAAGAACTTGGAATGAGAGAGATGATTGATAACCTCTGTGCCAAGGACATTGAGCCTTATCCATTCTCAACGTCACAGTGCTTTCCAGGCAAATTCTTAAACCACTCTAAGAACAGTGAATATTCATTTGTCAAACCCTGTGTGCAAGTGCCCAGAGGGGCTTTCATAACCATTTACACTGCCTAGACCAGGTGTACAGTTTGTGTCTCTTCCGTATGCTGGCCTTTGAAGTCACCTCTGGTTCAGTACTCTCCTGTGCCTCCTTATCCAAAGTCATGGAATAATCTAAGGAGGAGAGATGACATTTATTGGCACTCTTACCAAGTGCCAGGCACTGTGCTTCCCTCCGTCTCTTACTGAATCCTCACAACCCTGCAAGGTAGGTTCTGTTTTACAGATGAGGAAACCGGAGCTCAGAGAAGTTAAGCAGTGCATCCAAGTTTATAAAACTAGCAACGTGAGACACGAAGATTCAAACCCAGGTCCATCTGTCTCCAAATCCCATGTTCTTGTCTCTCTGCCATACTGACTCCCTGGAAGAGAAGCACATTCTACTTTCACCCTTGACCTGCTGCCTTCTGGCATCTTACCTAATCTAGAGCCCTTGGATCCAGTAGGTGGTTGGGGAAATTCTGGCTAAAGGAGGTGGGCACTTTGCTACAATGGTTTGGGTTTCATACCTGTAGAGAGAAAGAATTACACCTGTGGACAGAAAGACGGATGGATATAGAAGCTAAATACAAGAGAAGACAATCATGGCTGGTTGTCTTCCATGTAGAGTACCAATGGGGAAAAGACAGACTTTTCAAGTAATATTGGGAAAACTGGATATCCATATGCAAACGGATAACGTGTGCTGGTGTTGAACTCTATTTTTCCAGAAGAAAAATAAAAATGCTCTTGTGTGGCATGTAACTGGAAGGGGGTTTTCCGTTTTTCAGAAAAGGAAAGTCTATGTGGCATTATGGTAATGTAGATATGAAAGAACTCTATCCATCTTAGACAATCTCTAGGAGGTGGAAATTTGAAAAAAGTTCCTAAATGTTCTACTAGGGAGAGGTCCTCCTTCTTCCCCCTTCCCCCATTGTTGCTCCTTTCTTACCTTGAAGCAGAAGGCTGAGAAGGAGGTAGAAGGAAAATATTTTCCTGTGGAACCAGCTTCCTTCCATCTTCGTTGTCTAAATTCTTCTCTGAACATGTGCTGGGACCCACGAATGCCCAGATTAAAGCAGCACAGGCCACACCTAGAGCCCGACTTTGAATACTGATAGCATTGGTAGACCACTGACATTTGTAACCTTCCTGGAAAGAGTGTTCTGGTTGTCTTGTTCTTGCCTATGTTTGAGGTTCAGTCTGCTTTTGAGACTTTATCTTAGTCTTAGATACTTTACTACAACGTATATGGTTATAGATAGCTCATATGTGATCAGCGTGCAGATCTTGGTGAGATACCTCAGTCTGAAAACTCATCTCTTCAATTCTGGAAAATTCTCAGACATTTATAAATATTTCACTTCCTCTATTTTTCTTATTAGATATGTGTTGAATGGTTTCCTTCTATCTTACATGCCTCTTATTGCTGTGGTAACAAATCACAAACCCAGTGGCTTAAATAAACACAATTTGTTATTCTACTGTTCTGTGGGCCAGAAGTTTGAAATGGGTCTTACTGGGCTAAAATGAATGTGTCAGCAGGACCACATTCCTTCTGGAGGCTCTAGAGGAGAATCCATTTCTTTGCCTCTTCCAGATTTTTTTTTTTTTTTTTGAGACAGGGTTTCACTCTGTCGACCAGGCTGGAGTGCAGTGGTGCAATTGTAACTCACCACAGCCTTGGCCTCCTGGGCTCAAGGGATCTTTCCGTCTCAGCCTCCCAAGTAGCTGGGACCTCACAGGTGTGAGCCACCAAGCTTAGCTATTTTTTTTTTTTTTTTAAGTACAAATGAGGTCTCACTTTTTTGCCTAGCCTGGTCTCCAACTCCTGGCCTCAAGTGATCCTCCAACCTTGATCTCCCAAAGTGCTGGGATTATAGACGTCAGCCATTGCACCCGGCCTTTTCCAGCTTTTAAACTGCCTGTATTTCTTGGTTCATTATTTTTACTTCTCCATCTTCAAAACCAGCAACATCAGGCCAATGTTTCTCACAAGGCATCTCATCTCATCTTATTTGTTTCTCTCTCCTTCTTCCACTTATAAGAGCCTTTGTGATTGCATTGTGTTCGTTTGGATAATCCAGGATAATCTCCCGATCTCAAAGTCAGCTAATTAACAACCTTAATTTCATCCGCAACTTTAACTCCCCTTTTCCATATAACCTAAGGTTCCAGAGATTAGGATGTGGACAAATTCTGGGGGACATTATTCTGCCTAGCACACCTCTCTTTCCTATTTTTTACCTCTTTATCTCTGTCCCTAATGATTTCTTCAGATCTAGCTTCCAGGAAAAAAATTCTCGCCTCAACTGTGTTTACTTTATTTTATTCTATTAATTAATTAATTTATTTCTGATGCAACTCAGTAATTTTTATTGTAACTGGAAGACAATACATCGCAGAAACTTTATGGTAGGTCTGGGGAAAAGTGTTATTTACAATAGATGATGACATAATTTGTCTTTGGCAATATGATTACATTTGAAGAATGTAAAATGCAGGTATGGATGCCTTCCATATTTTATTTGGTTTTGAGACGGAGTCTCACTCTGTTGCCCAGGCTAGAGTGCAGTGGCGTGATCTTGGCTCACTATAGCCTCCACCTCCTTGGTTTGAGTGATTCTCCTGCCTCGGCCTCCTGAGTAGCTGGGACTACAGGTTTGTGCCACCACACCCAGCTAATTTTTTGTATTTTTAGTAGAGACAGGGTTTCACCATGTTGGCCAGGGTGGTCTTGAACTCCTCACCTCAGTTGATCTGCCCACCTCGGCCTCCCAAAGTTCTGGGATTCCAGGAGTGAGCCACTGTGGCTGACCCTCAACTGTGTCTAATCTGTCCATCTAATCTGGCCACTGAGTTTTGGGTTTTTTGTTTTTTGTTTTGTTTTGTTTTTTAGAGACAGGGTTTCACTGTCTCCCACCATGCCTGGCCCTCAACTGTGAGCCACCATGCTGGGATTACAGACAGGAGCCACCGTGCCCGGCCCTCAGCTGTGTCGAATCTGTCCCTCTAATCTGTCCATTGAGTTTTGCTTTTGTTTTGTTTTCTTTTTAGAGACAGGGTGTCCGTGTCTCCCAGGCTGGAGTGCAGTGGTATGATCATAGCTCACCGTAGCCTTGAATTCCTGGGCTCGGGCAATCCTGCCACCTCAGCCTCCCAAGTAGCTGGGACTACAGGTGCATGCCACCATGTGTGGCTAATTTTTTTTTTAATCGTTTCTAGAGACAGGGCCTTGCTATGCTGCTCAGGCTGGTGTTGAACTCCTGGCCTCAAGTGATCCTCGTGCCTCAGCCTCCCAAAGCACTGGAATTACAGGCATGAGCCACTATGGCTAACCTTTTACCCATTTTTAAATCAAGTTGTTTTTTGTTGTTGAGTTTCAGGAATTCTATGTATAGTTTGGATATTAATCCCTTATCAGCTATATAATTGTCAAATGTTTTCTCCCATTTTGTGGGTTGTCTTTTTTCCTCTGTTAATATTGTCTTTTGATTCATAGATTTTTAATATTTTCATGAAGTACTATTTGTCTATTTTTTCTTTTGTTGTCTATGCCTTTGTGTCATATCCAATAAATCACTGCTAAATCCAATGTTGTGAAGCTTTTCCCCTATGTGTTCTTTTAGGAGTTTTATTGTTTTAGGTCTACAATTAAATCTTTTTTTTTTTCTTTTTGAGATGGAGTTTCACTCTTGTTGCTCAGGCTGAGTGCAGTGGTGCGATCTCAGCTCACTGCAACCTCCACCTCCCGGGCTCAAGTGATTCTCCTGCCTTAGCCTCTCGAGTAGCTGGGATTATAGGCATGTGCCACTATGCCCAGCTAATTTTGTATTTTTGGTAGAGACAGGGTTTCTCCACGTTAGTCAGGCTGGTCTTGAACTCCCCACCTCAGGTGATCTGCCTGCCTCGGCCTCCCAAAGTGCTGGGATTACAGGTGTGAGCCACCGCATCCGGCCCTACACTTAAAATCTTTTATCCATTTTGAGTTAATTTTGGTATATGGTTTTAGGTAAGGGTCAAACTTTATTCTTTTGCATGTGGATATCCAGTTTTCCCAATATTACTACTTGAAAAGTCTGTCTTTTCCCCATTGGAACTCTTGCAAAAATAATTTGGCCATTTGTGTAAGGGTTTATTTCTGGGTTCTCTATTCTATTCCATTGGTATACATGTCTGTCTCTCTTTTTTTTGAGACGTAGTTTCACTCTTTTTGCCCAGGCTGGAGTGCAATGGTGCCATCTCCACTCACCACAACCCCCGCCTCCCGAGTTCAAGCAATTCTCCTGCCTCAGCCTCCTGAGTAGCTGGGATTACAGGCATGCACCATCACGCCTGACTAATTTTTGTATTTTTAGTAGAGATGGGGTTTCTCCATGTTGGTCAGGCTGGTCTCAAACTCCCAACCTCAGGTGATCCATCTGCCTTAGCCTCCTGTGCAGCTGGGATTACAGGTATGAGCCACTGCGCCTGGCCTTATTTTTATTTTTATTTATTTGAGACAGTCTCACTCTGTTGCCCAGGCTGGAGTGCAATGGCACAGTCTTGGCTCACTGCAACCTGCGCCTCCTAGATTCAAGTGATTCTCCTGCCTCAGTCTCCCAACTAGCTGGAATTACAGGTGCATTCCACCACGCCCAGCTAATTTTTGTATTTTTAGTAGAGACTAGGTTTCACCATGTTGGTCAGTCTGGTCTCAAACTACTGACTTCAGGTGATCAGCCTGCCTCAGCCTCCCAAAGTGCTGGGATTACAGGTGTAAGCCACCGTGCCCAGCCTGTGGTATGTTTTGAAATCAGGGAGTGTGAATCTTCCAGCTTCATTTTTCTTTTTAAAGATTGTTTCAGGTATTCAAGGTCCTTTGACATCCCATATGAATTTTAGGTTGGGTTTTTCTATTTCTGCAAAAACTGTCATTGGGATTTTGATAGGAATTGCATTGAATCTGTTCATTGCTTTAAGTAGTATTGACATTTTAACAATTTTGTGTCTTCCAATCCATAAACATGAGATATGTTTCCACTTGTTTATATTTTTAAAAAATTTCTTTCAGCAATGTTTTATAGTTTTCATTGTACAAGAATTTTACTTCTTTGGCTAAATTAGTTCCCAAGTATTTTTTTCCTTTTTTTTTTGTTTTTGTTTTTTTGTTTTTTTTGTTTTTTTAAATTTATTTATTATTATTATACTTTAAGTTGTAGGGTACATGTGCACAACGTGCAGGTTTGTTACATATGTATACTTGTGACATGTTGGTGTGCATTTTTTTCCTTTTGATGCCATTGTAAATGGAATTGATTTTTGTAATTTTCCTTTTCTGATCATTCATTGTTAATGTATAGAAATGCAACTGATTTTTGTTTGTTTGCTTTGTATCCTGATACTTTGCTAAATTCATGTATTAGTTTTAATGCTACTAGTTTTTGTGAGATCTTTAGTATTTTCTACATATAAAATAACATCATCTGCAAACAGAGATAATTTTACTCTTTCTTTTCCAATTTGGATGCCTTTTGTTTCTTTTTCTTGCTTACTTGCTCTGGCTAGAACTTTCAGTACTATGTGGTTTTTAGTTTGTTTTAGCTTGTTTGTTTTAGAGATGGGATCTTTCTCTGATATCCAGGCAGTAGTGTCCCAAAATGTTGAGATTACAGGTGTGAGCCACTGCACCTGGCCAACTATGTTGAATAGAAGTGGTGAAATTGAGCATCTTTGCCTTGTTCTTGATTTTAGAGAGTTTTCAGACTTTCACCATGGAGTGTGATGTTTGCTGTGGGTTTTTCATATATGGCTTTTATTATGTTGAGGTTGTTTCTTTCTATTCCAAGTTTGTTAAGTGTTTTCGTCGTGAAAGGGCGTTGAAGTTTGTCAGATGTTTTTCTGCATTAATTGAGATGATCTTTTTTTCCCTTCATTCTGTTAATGTGGTGTATTGCATTGATCAATTGTTGTATATTGAACTGTCCTTGCATTCCAGGAATAAATCCCACTTGGCTATGGTATATAATTCTTTTGATAT